GGCAACGAGCGTTTCCGCTGCCCCGAGTCCCTGTTCCAGCCTTCCTTCCTGGGAATGGAATCCTGCGGCATCCACGAGACCGTCTACAACTCCATCATGAAGTGCGATGTGGATATCCGCAAGGACCTGTACGCCAACATCGTCATGTCCGGTGGCACCACCATGTACCCCGGTATTGCCGATCGCATGCAGAAGGAGATCACCTCCCTGGCCCCATCCACCATCAAGATCAAGATCATTGCTCCCCCAGAGCGCAAATACTCCGTCTGGATCGGTGGCTCCATCCTGGCTTCCCTGTCTACCTTCCAGCAGATGTGGATCTCCAAGGAGGAATACGACGAGTCCGGCCCCGGCATCGTCCACCGCAAGTGCTTCTAAGCTGTTGCCAGCATCAGCACCACCACCACCCGGTGCCGCCTGTCCCCGCTGGTGCTGGGCCTGTGCGGTACAGTGGCACCGCCTAGAAACACAACAACACACACCACCACCACCACTCCAACACAAACATCAGAGATGTCCGCCCATTTGTTTTGAATGTCATCATTTCACCCAGTGTGTGTCATCCTTGGTTCGAGAATACTCTTTTGTACTGACTGAACACAACACCAACATCAATCAAAGAATTATCAATCTATCCGTGGACCGCGATCCCCATCCACTTGTTTATCGCTCGCGTCCTGCTTCAATGTTGATCGCCATTTGATTGTTTTACGAATGAACCGACACCCTCATGTATTTTGTACAGAACCTAACAACGTCCCCGGTAGAGCGGATGGGGTCTATTGCCTACGAAATGTAAAATAATCTCATGATTGTAATATTAATTAAAACAATTTATAATTATTTATAAATAAAAACGATTTTTTAGATTTAATTTTTTCTAAAAACATAATGATTTTGGAAAAAATTTGGCCAGTGGGAGGGAGGCACTAGGGGAGTCACATAGCCATAGCTTTCCCAATCGGCAAAGCTCTCCATACTATACGATTCTATATTCTCTGATCCGTAAAGAAGCTCTCCTATATTGAAACGATCTATTTCAAGCTCTGGACAAGGACGAGAGCTTCCACCTCCAGGCATGGGCGTTTCGAATTTCCCACATTCCACCTTAAAAGCTTCTCCTCGGAAGGCCAAAAATATTCCCCGACTATGTGTATTCAGAGATTTCGAAAACACCCGATTTTTAGATATTTTTAGCCGCATTCCATAGTGGGCGGTGAAAAGAGAAAGAACGTTTTTGTTTATGCCAGGGAAACTCGATAGGCTGCCGCCTCGGCCGCTGCTGAGGAGGTGACGCAAGCCGGATGATCAAAGGCGGGTAACGAAAACAAATTGCCAATGTCAATTTGCTGCCGCACCGAGCGGTGATTACCAGAAATGCATTTCCCTCAAAATGGGGGAAAATTCTAGCATGAAAAATGCCCTGACCAGACCGGAGAGACAAATGTGCTCGCCAAGACAATTAGTCAAGATGGCGTTGGGCCGTTTAATTAGAACTCGATCTGCATTATGAATGAAATTCTCATTCGCATTCGTGGCCAACGCGTCGTCTGTCGCAGTTGCATCCACGTACAAATGGTTAATTAATGGGCCCGAATCCCTGGCATTTGGCCAATAAAGGGGAGACCCGGTGACGGATGCGGCTAATGAGTTGCAAAGTGAGATGTGCAGGAATGGGTGCAAATTTTCACGGCTGGGTTTTACATTGCATTTCATTTTTATCGGTATTTATATTGTCTTGAAGATTTATAATGTGTAATAATTACCAAGAGTCCCTAATAGAACAAACAGGACCTTATAGCGGTAAGAAACAAATTCGACATTATGACAATCAACTTTATAATGCGCCTACTTTATTCTTATTTCCACTTAAAAATAATAAAAATGTTGTAAACCCAAATCTAAATTATAGTTTAAAATAAAGTTCTGTATAGTTATTACTTTCTCAAGCGAATTACTTTACACCGCCCTGCACAACAACAAACAGGGAACTGAAACGGGTTCAGAGTTCATGAACGGAGAATTCACCACTAATCAATTTGCACAAAAACAAAAATAAACACGATCACAATGTCGTCGTTGTCGTAATAATGCAATTTTAAGTTCTTAATTTCCATACAAATTCGATTTAAAATGCATAATAAAGAGCGCAAATACAGGGATCCGGATGCGAGTCAGCACATAAGGACTATGCCTCCGCCCATCGACTTCAAGTATGCCGCACAAAACGACCCATATGGTCAATTAGTATTACCAACCAACAATGGGGGCATCAAGTTCTTCAAGGCGATGCCACACACAGTACACGGAGACATGGCATACACACACACACACACCCCAAAGCACACACCACACTCATTGTTTTCACTTCAATTATTATCGATGAAGCTGCAAAGCCACCAAAAAATTTCGAACATAATACAATCCAAACTGAGTTCAGCGAAGCGTAAAGTGTTGCGAAGCTCGGAGATTTGAAGAACATTTCTTGAAAACCGATTGAGGATATGGTGGAATTATGGTAGGTTTATGTAGGGTAAGGGTATAGAATGATTTGTACCCCTTTGAATTGAATTATAGAACTTTAATTATAAAGAAAGGCTACCAAAATAGACATTTTTCTTTAAATGAAATATGGATTTTTCTTTAAAATCTATAATTCTTTAATATGTTTTTTTTGCTTAACTATTGTTTTTTTATACCATATACCTCCTTTTCATATATTTTTACCAGAAGATTTTAATATTATTATATTTCTATAGATAGCAAAGCCTTTATGAGCTTAATAAATGACTAAGTAGCTAGTTAAATGTTAGTTGTAATTACTTGGACTTCCATTTACCTAAAATTATACAAGATTTTGAAATTGCTGATAATAAGCTAATCAGTGACTGTATATTTATGTATACTTATTGTAGGAAAATCAATCATTCGGATCATTTGAGGTCCTTCGCCTTTTCAAATTAATTTATGATACGCTTTTTTAGTTTCATCCCAATTAAGACCAAATTCAAAGGCAAACAAGAAACGATTTAAAATTCGCAACGAACAAGACAATTTAATTTGATTGATTTCAATTTTTGCCATTTCCACTGGCTTTTCGCAATCCCATTCCCTCCCCCACCCCTGCCTTGCTGAAAATATAAATCGCTGGGATAATGAAAAGCGTCACATTTGATTGCATTTTTTGTGTGAAATTGGGCTGACAATGTTCGCTTTCGCTGACCAAATAAAAGGAGGAATCGAGCGATCCGAGCGAAGGAAGGACACACACACACACACACACACACAGCCGCAGACAAAGGGGTGATGCATTCACGTGGTTAAAACACAGACACACTCACACACACTCGCTCGTTGGGGGTGATTGCCATTTGCGAACAGGCAAAAGGGTGCAGCCCATTGGAACACAGGAACAGGAACAGGACCTGGCCAGGACCTCAGCGAGGCCGTGTAAACGTGTTAGGGCAGAACAAAAAACACAAAACAAAAATGTGCACTTTACGCAATTTATGTGCAAATTTTTCAATGACTTTAAAGCGATGCAGGAGGGCTGATTGACTCGTTGAACGAGTGACAGGGGATGACCGTGGCCAGTCATTATAATCGCTCGCTAATTGACTCTAATAGACTGAAGGCTTCTCTCAGGGGAGTGGATGGATAGCCTGCGGCTCTCTGGAAAGTTCTGATAAACCTGAAACCCTGAAACCCCTTGGACTCAAATCACTTTGGAAATGGTCTTGCAAACGAGCTAATCTCAAGTACTACTATGAGGAATTCTTAAGCGGCAGCTCAGTGAGATCTTAAGAGTAAGCAGCTTGCTCGTAAAATACACACTTTCAAGTGCTAAGGATCACCCAGACGACCCGGCATTATGTGTGAAAAGTAGCCATTAGAAAATTGCCCACAAATTAGCACAAATAATGCGAGCATTTAGCAATTGAATACTCTATGTGGCACACTAACCGAACACCGAATCCCACACGCACTCGCGCTTATCCTCTCGACCTTTCACCTTGCACCTTTCAACCTTTGAGGCCTTCAGCCTTTTCACCTTTTCACATGTCCTAAGTCCGCTCTCACACATGAGCGGGGGTAATTATGCGCCTGATTTAACTCTACAATAGATCCACAAATGACAATTTCACACTGCCTTTGTTGTCCGCACGGTCGGTCCTCTCTCTTCTGGATATTATTCTCTGTTATTTCAAGTGCCGCGCACTTGAATTTCGGTCATGTCCTTGAATCTGTTCATGCAGAAAGCGGAAAAAAAATATATATTCGAGTAATACCAAAAAAATTCTCTACATAAAATGGCTCCGCTCAGAGAAATATGAATTTATGAATGTTGACGGCGATCAAACAAAGGACTTTCTGAGCAAGGCCACGCCTTGTCTGAGTTTTTTTTGTGCCACATTTTATAGTCGGAGGAAATGGCCAAGGAAATTCGCATTTATTATAATCGTGGGGAAATGCGAAGAGTGCAAAGAAAATTGCTCTCAATTTCCCGCCAAGAAAAGCGCACAAAAACCCGAATCGAATTGAAAATGAAATTAATTTTTCAGAGACACAGAGAGAGGGAGAGAGAGCGCAGAGGAGTGCTACTGCTCAAACTTTGCAATTTGCGGCGCGTTTCCGCTTCCGCTCGGCTTAGCGTCGTTGAGGCTCCTTCAGCGCCAAAGAAGACATCCTTCGGGGAATACGAAGGAGCACTCCGATTGTCATCCATTTCGTTTGATGTGTCAAAGTCTCACAGCGAGAGCATAACAATTTTATTTCCATTTTCCTTTTGCTCTCGTTGTCGCTTTTTCGTTGCTCGAATCGATTAGCAGCCACTTAGAGCAGTTAAGAGCCCCCATTGAGTTTATTAAATCAGGCGTAATAATTGGCACACACACACAATGGAAAAAAGGGAAAGCGGCCAAGAATAGACGATGAATAGCGAATAGGAATCAAAGTATCGAAATCGAAATCGATTCCCAGGCAGCAGGCACTGGCAGCGTTGTCAGATCGCATTTCCCCTCAGACAAAAAACACTTTTCATTTGGAAAGAATACACAAATAAAATTACTAAACAAAAAGTTGTTCGGTCGCACCTTCAGCATGGCGGACCTTGAGGAGAACGAAGGCCCATTCACAACAATTGGTGATATCTCCGAGGAGCTGGGTGGGTATTACTAATATAGTATAGATAAATATACATAGCCTTTCAGCCTAATACAATTTTTGGTTAATTGATAATTTATGGGAGGTTATCAAGGCCTCTCTACTCTCCAAATACTCTTCTCTTTAAGGTAGAACAAGAGTTTTACCTTATTTGTTTTAGTTTCTTCTCAATATATACCAAATTATTGGTGATTTATTATTAATATGTTCAGACCTTACTATATTTGTGACACTTCATAGCATAAAAATCGTTTTCAACCCTATTGCTTTTAAATGAATCGAGTCCTTCAACCCCTTGTTATTAAAAAAGTATTTATTTTTAAAGCAAGCAAAGCTCAAACCAGGGATACTATTATTGAAAGTTAATAATTCTCAACCCACTATTATTTTAGAATGCACTCATCTCGCTCACGTGCCCCAGGTCTTGCGAAAGTTGGAGGACATTCAGGATACCGAGGACGAAATGCGGTTGGCTGAGGGAAAGCGACTGAGCAAAAAATACGATTCGGTCTTCTATTAACTATACCAAAAATTCTCACGTCACAATCGTTGCGAGTGACACCTGCCCAGGTGTTGGCCTGGCAATTAATGACTGGCTGAACTCCTCACATTCACACGGCTCGAGCCAGGATCCAAGGAGGAAGGAAGGCTGGAGGCGCCAACAGCCAACAGTCGCACGCAAGCCATGAAGGGTTCGGTCCTGAAACTCAAACAAATTGTGACAAAGTTGCGGAAATTTAATTAAAATCAAATACAAACACAAATAACTACGAAAGGACAAAGGGGTAGCGAATTGGCAGTCAGGTGTGACCCGTTAGTTTCTAACACGCTTGCAGCCCTGTCTAAAAGTCGCTAGTTTTCCGCGTCGTTTAATAAACAAAATGTAAACAAAGTTTAACAGCAATGACACACATGACTCCCACCCCGCGTTCACCTTGTTTTTGTTGCTAGTGCTATTGCCTTTTTATTAATATAATTTATGGCCCTGTGGTTGTGTGAGCGCTGTGAGCAAGGTGGAAATGCAAACACAGCACAGCCAGGGCACCGCAGCTGCTTAATTTCACAGCGCATACGTTTGATTAACTTAATTTAATAGTATTTCTTTCCTTTCCATTTTTGCTGGTGTCCCCGTTTCGAGCTAGCATTTTGATATATTTGTTTGTTTATTTAATTTATTATTATAGTTATGGCCACGCGCTCTGGTTAACAGCTATAAATGCGATTATATAGCTATTGATCACTTTTAGGAGCTGGCTTTAATGGTCTACTTTCGAAATTAACTAGAGAAAAGGGTGCATTATGAAATAGGATATTCTGTTTGTCCTTTTGAAAATGTTTTTTATTCCAATATGAAACTGAAAATAGGTTATATACATTAAGATTTTAACTGAATTAATAAATATTTCCTAAAAACATTTAAATTAAATCAAAATTATAATTCAACTTGTTACTCTCTCCTCTGCTTAATCAATAAAAGATGAAGTATTGCCTGTGAGTGCCACTACAATCGCCGAGGACTACCATTGGCTAATGAGGACACAATTGAATGGCCGAGCCAGCTGCCCAGTATTGCAAATGTAGGTATAGATTCTACCTGAACTGTCCAAGGGCCGAATAGAACAAATCAACCATGAAACCATTATGGCTAAAATCAGTAAACAAAAACCACGGGGCACTGCTCTTTCTTTAATCACAACCCAAGGAGAAGACGATCACCGAACGATAAAATTAGGCACAGCTTAGCCATGTTTCAGAGTCAGCAGGCAGTGAATCCTGAAGGAGACATCCTCACCTTTTTTGTATTTTGAGGAGTCTCAGCTGGAGAGGATCCTGAGGGCGGCTCGCTTTGAAATACTTAGCAGGAGCGGGAGCAATTGACACAAAAGTATCGTTTTCGCTGTTGTCGCCAGCTTACTTACAGAGTATCCTGTCGGAAATGTTTTCGTTGGCAATTCCATGTTGCGGTGTGTTGGCAATTTATTTTCGGGTATTTCCTAGCGATCAGCGATCACAGGACACTCGATACTCTGGCGGAATGGGTCTTCTCAAGTGGTCACAAATTACAGCAATTACAGAGCGCCCTTCTGTCCTGTGTCCTGTGTTCTGTGGCCGCTGTAAAATGGCGCTCATTAGGGATCCTTCCCCCAGCCGTCAGACAATCTGCGTAATTATTTCGCTGACAACTTTTGATGAATTAAATGCGAAATAAATTTTTAAGTGCGCATAACGAGCATTGCGGCTGCCGGGCGAAATGAAATGAAAATACGGAGACAAACAGAGCAGGACGAAAAAGGATGAGATTCCACAGCAAGGTGAAATCTTTCTTGAGCGTCTGTTGAGCGGATTTAACTTGTTTAATTACCGCTGTATTCAGATGCATTCAGTTCGCCATCAACTGGCGCTCATTACGGCAGAATATATATATATATTTGGATGTGTGTGAATACAGAGAAAGAAAGGGAGCCAACACTAAGGAGTGTATTTCTATATCCTTGGACAATATAATAATTTTAGTCTAAAGCTTGTAACGATATAAAGGAGTCATTTCCGACCCTGTAATTCATATATATTCTTCATCAGAATCAACAGCTAAATCGATTTAGCTACGTTTGGTCGAAAAATATATTTTCGCAATTTTCTCGAGATTTGAAAAAAAGATAAGGGGTTACATCGTTAAAATTGTTAAAAATTGATAAAAATTTCAATTTTCTAATATTTAAAATTGAGTATGCAGCTTTGTTAATCTGCTAAAAACTTGCATAGAACAGCTTTCCGAATTGAAATTAATGATTTTTGGCATAGTTATGAGTTTTTTAAACTAAGATTTTAGGAAGAAAATTTTCTGTTTTTATACCTTTTTGCTGGTTATTATAATTTTATTCGGAAACTTGTAACAGCATCAACAAACGCAGTATACAGATTTGTTAGTGCTATAAAAACTGGTACAGAAAAGCTTTCCGAGTCAAAAATATTGCTATTTTGGCTTAATTATGGTATGTGCAAAATTTAGAATTTTTAAGAAAATTGTCTGTTTATACCTTTTTGCAGAATATAATTTCAGTCAGAAGATTAAAACGCAGTGAAGGAGTCATTTCCGACCCTATAAATCACATATATTCTTGATCAGCGTGAAAAGGGGTGTTGATCTAGCCATGTCTGGTCGAAAAATAAATTTTCGCAATTTTGTCGAAATTTGAAAAAAAGATAAGGGGTTACATCGTTAAAATTGTCAAAAATTGATAAAAATTTCAATTTTCTAATATTTAAAATTGAGTATGCAGCTTTGTTAATCTGCTGAAAACTTGCATAGAACAGCTTTCCGAATTGAAATTAATGATTTTTTGGCTTAGTTATGAGTTTTTTAAACTGAGATTTTAGGAAGAAAATTTTCTGTTTTTATACCTTTTTGCTGGTTATTATAATTTTATTCGGAAACTTGTAACAGCATCAACAAACGCAGTATACAGATTTGTTAGTGCTATAAAAACTGGTACAGAAAAGCTTTCCGAGTCAAAAATATTGCTATTTTGGCTTAATTATGGTATGTGCAAAATTTAGAATTTTTAAGAAAATTGTCTGTTTTTATACCTTTTTGCAGAATATAATTTCAGTCAGAAGATTAAAACGCAGTGAAGGAGTCATTTCCGACCCTATAAATCACATATATTCTTGATCAGCGTGAAAAGGGGTGTTGATCTAGCCATGTCTGGTCGAAAAATAAATTTTCGCAATTTTGTCGAAATTTGAAAAAAAGATAAGGGGTTACATCGTTAAAATTGTCAAAAATTGATAAAAATTTCAATTTTCTAATATTTAAAATTGAGTATGCAGCTTTGTTAATCTGCTGAAAACTTGCATAGAACAGCTTTCCGAATTGAAATTAATGATTTTTGGCTTAGTTATGAGTTTTTTAAACTAAGATTTTAGGAAGAAAATTTTCTGTTTTTATACCTTTTTGCTGGTTATTATAATTTTATTCGGAAACTTGTAACAGCATCAACAAACGCAGTATACAGATTTGTTAGTGCTATAAAAACTGGTACAGAAAAGCTTTCCGAATCAAAAATATTGCTATTTTGGCTTAATTATGGTTTGTGCAAAATTTGGAATTTTTAAGAAAATTGTCTGTTTTTATACCTTTTTGCAGAATATAATTTCAGTCAGAAGATTAAAACGCAGTGAAGGTGTCATTTCCGACCCTATAAATCACATATATTCTTGATCAGCGTGAAAAGGGGTGTTGATCTAGCCATGTCTGGTCGAAAAATAAATTTTCGCAATTTTGTCGAAATTTGAAAAAAAGATAAGGGGTTACATCGTTAAAATTGTCAAAAATTTATAAAAATTTCAATTTTCTAATATTTAAAATTGAGTATGCAGCTTTGTTAATCTGCTAAAAACTTGCATAGAACAGCTTTCCGAATTGAAATTAATGATTTTTTGGCTTAGTTATGAGTTTTTTAAACTAAGATTTTAGGAAGAAAATTTTCTGTTTTTATACCTTTTTGCTGGTTATTATAATTTTATTCGGAAACTTGTAACAGCATCAACAAACGCAGTATACAGATTTGTTAGTGCTATAAAAACTGGTACAGAAAAGCTTTCCGAGTCAAAAATATTGCTATTTTGGCTTAATTATGGTATATGCAAAATTTAGAATTTTTAAGAAAATTGTCTGTTTTTATACCTTTTGCAGAATATAATTTCAGTCAGAAGATTAAAACGCAGTGAAGGAGTCATTTCCGACCCTATAAATCACATATATTCTTGATCAGCGTGAAAAGGGGTGTTGATCTAGCCATGTCTGGTCGAAAAATAAATTTTCGCAATTTTGTCGAAATTTGAAAAAAAGATAAGGGGTTACATCGTTAAAATTGTCAAAAATTTATAAAAATTTCAATTTTCTAATATTTAAAATTGAGTATGCAGCTTTGTTAATCTGCTGAAAACTTGCATAGAACAGCTTTCCGAATTGAAATTAATGATTTTTTGGCTTAGTTATGAGTTTTTTAAACTAAGATTTTAGGAAGAAAATTTTCTGTTTTTATACCTTTTTGCTGGTTATTATAATTTTATTCGGAAACTTGTAACAGCATCAACAAACGCAGTATACAGATTTGTTAGTGCTATAAAAACTGGTACAGAAAAGCTTTCCGAGTCAAAAATATTGCTATTTTGGCTTAATTATGGTATGTGTCATTTCCGACCCTATAAATCACATATATTCTTGATCAGCGTGAAAAGGGGTGTTGATCTAGCCATGTCTGGTCGAAAAATAAATTTTCGCAATTTTGTCGAAATTTGAAAAAAAGATAAGGGGTTACATCGTTAAAATTGTCAAAAATTTATAAAAATTTCAATTTTCTAATATTTAAAATTGAGTATGCAGCTTTGTTAATCTGCTAAAAACTTGCATAGAACAGCTTTCCGAATTGAAATTAATGATTTTTTGGCATAGTTATGAGTTTTTTAAACTAAGATTTTAGGAAGAAAATTTTCTATTTTTATACCTTTCTGCTGGTTATTATAATTTTATTCGGAAACTTGTAACAGCATCAACAAACGCAGTATGCAGATTTGTTAGTGCTATAAAAACTGGTACAGAAAAGCTTTCCGAGTCAAAATTATTGCTATTTTGGCTTAATTATGATATGTGCAAAATGTAGAATTTTTAAGAAAATTGTCTGGTTTTATACCTTTTTGCAGAATATAATTTCAGTCAGAAGATTAAAACGCAGTGAAGGAGTCATGTCCGACCCTATAAATCATATATAT